CTTTTCTTTTTATTCGATACCTTAGAGTACACAGCAAACGTTTATTAATCCTAGTCCTAGTAAACACATGATGTGCAATGGCTTCGAACAGCGGGGAAATTTTTTTAATTAGCGTACATATCATATGGAAGGGTGAGGAAATTCTACATGTAGTTTTGAACCATAAATAAGAGAATGGCCCCTCTTGTTCACCTGGGGGGGTGGGGTGGGGGACTCTCGTAGCCTAGAGGCAAAGGTGTTCACCTCTCATTCAATAGGTCCCGGGTTCGAATCCGGAATGTGACAGAAAATTTTCTTCCCTTAAATTGTCTCTTTTCACCTCCTTTCCTGCTCTCTGGCAATGTTCTATCGTCTCCACTGTCTGCCCCCCCCCCCCCCTTTTCCACATCTTTTGCCCCCTCCTCTGGGCTCCCGACTCTTTCAGCAGCCTTTCTATTGCTACTCCATGGCTCCTCTTACTGCTGTCTTTCAGCCACACCTCTGATCTTATGGCAGAAAATATCTATACCTAGGCTTCTCGGACAAGGGCGAAAAATCTCAGAGGTCCCGTGTGCAAGTTGCGCACGTTAAAGATCCCTTGGTGGTCCAAAATCGATAAGAGTAGGTTTCGGCAACCACCCGGGCAAAATTCAAAATTTCCTGCCATCTGAAACTGTTTAATGTATCCCGCGCGCTCGTATGACCTTATGTAGTTTGCGAGCGCCGTAAAACATTTACACCCCCCCCCCCACCACACACACACACACACACACACACACACACACACACACACACACCACCACACACACACACAAAAGAAAGAAAGTTCACCTGGGCTAGCAACTGATCCAGAAAAGAATCTTTAACAGGCAGACCACCTACGGTTCTGGCAGCATTTCCTGCAGGTCCGTAAAAAATACTGGATGGGCGTCTGTGGTGTAATCAAGGAGCTTAGAACTGTATTACTCCTTGTGTGTAATGGTTGCGTTCTACAAGGATGGCTGGTGCCTCTATAAATAAATCATTGACGGTCATGGTTGCATTCTTCGTCGTTACAAGCACAACGCATGAGTTCGCCTCTTTATTTAAAGGCCTATAATTAAACTGTGTCAATGAGCCGTAAAATATGTAGATCTACAATCAAAAGCATGGATCTCACTTTTTTATTTTAAATTAACCCACCAGGCTGAGTTGAGAGGCCAAAGAGTAAAGAGTCTTTGCTGCAAGCAGGCGCGGTTCCTCCCTATACCACGGCCGTGCAGTGCCGCATAACATTTTAAAAATGTTCTATTACGTAAACCACCCACCCACAATAATAAAATAAAAGAAGCCGGAAACAAACACTAGCCAAATATTATATACCAAAACAAGGTCCTTGCTGGCGCCATAACTGTCATTTTTGTGTCTATAGCGCCGTAAAACATCTACAATGCCATGCCAAAGTCCCACGCGCTTAAACTATAAATGATAGGATATTCAACAGTGGTAACCTGACCTATAAAAATCGCTCTTTGGCCATGACAACACTCGTAGCGAGTTTGGCGGTTCATTAATTTTAATAAGACGGTACATCTCAAATGTGCTCCTGCTGAATAGTTCAGAAACGTAGCCCACAGTAGGCACAGTAGGAGCATGCATCTCTTTCATGTCCCTTTCCCACACATCTCCGCGCCGTGTTTTCTGTGGCCTACCCTTGCCTCGTTCTCCCTGTGGGTTCCACTGCGGCGATGTCTTGTGATGTTTCCGCTGGGTTTTCTGAGGGCGTGTCCCATCCATCATCACTTTCTTAGTCCCATTTCTACTTCTATACCCCTGTGTCCTGTCCTTGACCACAGCTCTTCGTTTATTATTCTATCCTGCCACTTACTTCTTAAGTTCTTAGGATACTCCTCATAGATTCTACACCTGTTGATGAAAGTCTGGACTTTATTCAGTACTGTCTTTGTTGTCTTCCAAGTTTCGTAGCCGTAGAGGAGCATAGACTTGACGTTGGAGTTACAAAGTCGAATCTTGGTGCGCAGTGAGATGTTGCTTGCTTTCCAGATTTGATAATTGCTTGAATGCTGACATTGCCTTGGGGTTCTTGCTTATTACTTACAAACAATACGCATGTTGACCATAATATACTTGTCACCTCAAAAGTCCAGGGGAAGGTAAATGTAGGTTTCGCGAACCACCAAGCACAAATTAAGCTAGCGTATCGCAGCCTTTCAATATCAACAGTCTCAGTAATGCCATGTCATCATGATCAGAATCCGAGACATTACATTGCTGTCAGTTTGAAAGCAAGACGAGTTAAAGTCAACATAATCTCTCTCTCTCTCTCTCTCTCTCCCTCTCTCTCTCTCTCTCTCTCCACTCTCTCCATCTCCCTCTCTCTCTCTATCTATCTATCTATCTATCCCTCAACTCTCTCTATTTCTCTCTCTCTCTCTCTCCCTCTCATTCTCTCTCTTTCCTTCTCTCTCTC